GGGCCCTGCGGCTGGTCTACAGGGGAGGTGACAAGGAGTTAGTTCCTTCCCAGCCACAAGTCACCGTGCAGTCCCGAGTGATGTGAACATGTACCTGCATTTTAATCTGCTTGATCTCGGGCTCCAAAACATGCACAACAGAAGGAAATACAGAACGAACCCCAAATACATGCACGGGCCCCACACCTCGGGGGCCACACAACCCTATGGAAGAAAGGAGTGAAGACAAAAGCCACCACCACTAGGATGGAAGTGCGTCTGCAGAGAGTGAGGGGAGAACACGGCCCAGTGTTCCACCCTGCAAACTGCCAACCTGGACCAAGACCACACTGGCCCCTCTGCTCAGCCCTCCCCCCAGTCCTCCGCCCCTCTGCTCAATCCTCCCTCCAGTCCTCCCCCTCTCTGTTAAGTCCTCTCCCCCCCCATCCTCTGCCTCTATGCTCAGTCCTCTTTCCAGTCCTCACCCCCTCTGGTCAATCTTCCCCATCAGTCCTCCGCCTCTCTGCTCGATCCTCCCTCTAGTCCTCCACCCCTCTGGTCAGTCCTCCCTCCAGTCCTCCCCCGCTCTGGTCAATCTCCCCCCCCCCCAGTCCTCCACCCCTCTGCTCATCCCTCCCTCCAGTCTTCTGTCCCTCTGCTCATCCCCTCCCATCCTCCCCACCGCTGTTTAGTCCTCCCTCAAGTCCTCAGCCCCTCTGCTCAGCCATCCCTCCAGTCCTCCGCCCCTCTGCTCGGTCCTCCCTCCAGTCCTCCACTTTCAAGACACGGAGGAGCTGGGCAGGTGGAGCCGGACACAGATTCACTGGGGTGAGCACGGAGCCCTTCCCTGCACTAACCCCACCCATGGACATGTGGCTCTGGCTCCTGGTCTGCTCCTTGGAGGAGAGAAGGCATTACCATAAATCCAGCAGGGGGCCCCCAGGCGCAAATTCAAAGAGAAAACAAAAAAGTAACTTTGGCTAAAAGTGCAAAGGCATTTTTGGAAATTCGCCAAGTGTACCTGTCTCTAATAGTGAGTACCGCATTCCTGTGTGCATCAGTACTGCAGGCTGATGCCTAGGTGATTTCTTTTATATATTTAATTTTTTTTAATGTTTATTTTTGAGAGAGAGAGAGAGAGAGACAGACAGACAGACACAGCATGGGCTGGGGAAGGGTAGGGAGAAAGGGAGATACAGAATCTGAAGCAGGTTCCAGGCTCCAAGCTGTTAGCACAGAGCCTGATTCGGGGCTGGAACCCAGGAACAGTGAGATCCTGACCTGAGCCCAAGTTGGAAGCTTAACCTACTGAGCCCCCAGGCGCCCCTATGCTTTAGCAATTTCTACTTATAGAGACCAACCAGAACAGGCTCCGGAGAGCCCTCACCACCCACTAAGTATTTTCTAAGCAACAATTTTGGGATTTTGGCTTTGTATGTCTATAGTTAAAAGACAGAAATCCATAAAACTTTACCTTCAAAATTTAATCTCAGAAAAGACTATGTAAACTGCGATTTCGTTTTTCTTCAAGCAGGAAGGGCTTTCAAGACTGAGCTGTTTAACTGTCTTGATTTTTCTTAGTTTCAGAAGATGCAGACTCCCAGCACTCCTGATCAGGGTGGAAAACTTAAATAAATGTGTAAATATGTAACAAACAAAAAACTTAAATGTTCCTATAAAGGGTTAAAGAAAATGTTGGAAGAAAACTTTTTTTTTAATTAAAAAAAATTTTTTTTTACTGTTTATTTATTTTTGAGAGAGAGAGAGACAGAGTGAGAGCAGGGAAGGAACAGAGAGAGAGGGAGACACAGAATCTGAAGCAGGCTCCAGGCTCTGAGCTGTCAGCACAGAGCCTGACGCGGGGCTCAAACCCACGAACCGTGTGATCATGACCTGAGCTGAAGTCGGACTCTTAACCGACTGAGCCACCCAGGTACCCCGGAAGAAAACTTCTTTAAAACAAAAAAAAAATAATCAACTCCCAGGCAAGTGTATGGAAGAGACTTCCTGACATAAAACTCACCCCCTTGTTTCTTTCCTACTTTCTGGTATTACGACTCATTAGAAATTCCACAGTCAATTCAATCCTAGAACTTACAATGCACATGCCACATTTAATATAGTTTGGGTAAACAGAAAAATCAAACAGAAAAGGATGAAGCAGTTTTCAAAACAAGTTTCAAGGGATAAAATATGAACTTATGAGCAAGGAATTATTAGTTTTAATCATATGGAGAGAAAAGCAGACCATATTTCCTGAGGTTTAAGGGAAAAAAATGCACCCCAAAAGGGAACGTCATTAACGGCTGTCTGAAATTGTAAACCTATAACCTTTGAGGGCATAGGTGAATGAGACTGCTTTTCCCCCCAGATTACTCACAGTTAATGTAATTTGGCAACAATCTGAAGATTACCAGAAATCTCTAATCACTTACTCATAAGTTATCATCAAGCATCCTTTTTTATAGCAGCTCAGTAACAAGCAGCAGTGACATGGAAATTCTTTTTGTCTGACAGCAGTGGCACAGGAAGAGAATTCAGACGAAGAACACATTTCATGTCGCCAGAGCTGACAAATGTGAAAAATGCGCCAAACTCTGAAAGCCACAATTTCTATTAATTAGACAAATGGAAACCTTTTCAGTTGATGCTGCCCAAATCTCAGGTTTTTCAAACAAAAGAACTGTTTGTCTTAAAGAAAAAATGTAACAGTTATTCATTTTTGAGACAGAGAGACACGCAGAGCGTGAGCAACGGAGGGGCAGAGAGAGAAGGAGACACAGAATCCGAAGCGGGCTCCAGGCTCCGAGTGGTCAGCACAGAGCCGGATGCGGGGCTCGAACTCACCGACCGCAAGACTGTGACCTGAGCCGAAGTCGGACGCTCAACCGGCTGAGCCACCCAGGCGTCCCAAAAGAACTGTTTTTCTTCCAGAGCCATTTTATTTTTATTTATGACTTTTTCTTATTGGAAAAAGACTGTTCATATTAACTGAATAATTTATCTGGATTCAAGCTTTAAATGGTAAAAAAACAAGAATACTTATATGGAGTCCTACTCTCACGTGGTTTGAAAATAAAACATGAAGATACTGGAGGGGAAAGAACCACTTGAACCACTTGTTCAACACAGTTTTATTGAACATGCACCTCACGCCAAATATTGGTCCAGCAGTGAGGATATATGTAGAGGTGACACCGTAACTATTTTATTGACTCATTCATTCATCCAAATCCTTAAAACATGGATTTACCACCTAATGCCAAGGCTTTGACAAGATACTAGGGACTCAAAACATTGTCTTGAGCCATGTTTCCCACTGCTGGAGACTAGAACGAATCCTGGGCTGCTGAATGTGTAGTGGAGGGATGTGAATCCTTCACTTACATGTAGAGCTTGAACTCAGACGGAGACGGGGGCATAGACACATACACATATTTCCTGGCTCAGTCTGAGAGATCTGAGACCTAACAGGGTCTAGAACAAACAGCACGTTAGTAGCAATGTGCACACCCGGATCTTGGTTTCAAAATACCATTCTCCACGAAAAGGAACCAAAGCACCCTAGGAAAGGCCGTGTCCGGGGCTGGTGCAAAGAAGTACATGAAGAACTTACAACATCTTGTTCCACCAAAAGTAAGAAATCCTTGAAGAATTATGGAAACATATCCAAAGGACAGAGGGGCAGTTTGTAGCTGGGGCCCCCACAGCCCAAAGCTGGAATAATTCAAGCAATAAAATAATTCATGACAGTAAGGAATATAATTCCTTGAATACAGTAAGAATCTATGAGTTTGAACTAATATAAATTTTAAAAAGGAAGAAAAGGAAGCTCTTCCTTAGAGCATAATACCAGCTAATAAATATGGAAGTCTAGAAGGAAGGAGTGAAAGTCTGAGGAGGAAGAAGATACTTCAAACTATCTCTCCACAAATTACATATTAACAATAGGAAAATGGTAAGTTTACAGTGGAGAAACTTGGTGGGTAAGTCAGTAACACTGGTACCGACATCACCCGCCTACTGACAGGATGTAGAAGGCACGACACCATCCCGTGGCTTTCCCCCCAAAATGACGACACTTCAATCTCATCATGAGAACACATTAGACAAACCCAAATCGAGGTCAATTCTACAGAATAATTGACCTCTCCTCCTCAAAATATGTAAACTAAGGTCAACAAAGTGAAGAAAGACTCCAGAACTGTTCCAGATTTGATTCAGGGAGACAAGAAACTGCCATGCAATGTGTGACTCTGGACTGGCTGTCGTACTCGAGACAGAGGGCAAATCTGGATGTGGACCGCGCAGATGAGCAAACAGTATTATATCCAGGTTAGATTTCCAGATTTTGGTATGTGCGCTGTGTTTTATGAGAGAATGTGTCCTTAGGAACTACATATGGAAGGACACAGGGGTAAAGGGGCATGATGTTGGCAACTTATCCTCAAATGGTTCAGAAAACGTTAGGCACATATAAATAAGTAAACCGTGCTAAATAATTGGTAAATCTAGAAAATAAAATATAAATAAATAAATAAATAAATAAAAAGAAAGAGAAAACAAATAACTGGTAAATCTAGGTAAACGGTATATGGCATTTCCTTGTACTAATTTTGTGATTCTTCTTTTTTTTTAAAGGTTTTTTTTTTTTTAATTTTTTTAACATTTATTCATTTTTGAAAGGCAGAGAGAGACAGAGCGTGAATGGGGGAGGGGCAGAGAGAGAGGGAGACACAGAAACAGAAGCAGGCTCCAGGCTCCGAGCTGTCAGCACAGAGTCCGACGTGGGGCTCGAACCCACGGACTGCGAGATCACGACCTGAGCCGAAGTCAGCCGCTCAACCGACTGAGCCACCCAGGCGCCCCTGTGATTCTTCTTAAAGTTCAAAATTATATCAAAATAAAAAGTTATAAACAAAACACTACAGTTAATCCACTCAAGAATGTGATCACTCAGGTAACACTTAGGACTTTACTAAACGTCAGTGGACAAAGATACATAGAACACAGATTCCTACCTTTGAGGACATCTCAGTCTTGAAAGGGTTGCTCAACCTTTCAGAAAAACAAATTATAACATTATCTTATTACCACTCTCTTTTAATGCAGTCAAAAGACCTCATAGGGAAAATGCACTGTGAAGGACGTGAACATTTTCCCGCTGTACTAGAAGTTAAATAACAAACATTCCTAAAATAAATAAATCTATCACCCAAGAAGCAGAATTTTTGCTTTAAAAATATTTCTGTTGTAACGTGATCTATATTATAATATTACTAGAGATTCAGGGCGTATGGCTTTATTAACACTGTATATTATTCTTTTTAAGATTTTAAGTAAGCTCTATACCCGACGTGGGGCTCGAACTCAGCACCCTAAGATCTAGAGCCGCACGCCCCTCTGAGCGAGCCACGCGTCCCACCAGACGAATGTTACTTTTAAATGCCACATTACTCATTCAGCGTGGTAAACAGACTTTGAAAGAACAGTATGACGAAGCCCAGGAACAACAGACAGTGAGACGGAGAAACGTGTGTTAACTGGCATCAACTGGAGGCCAAGAGTGAGAACACGTCCAAAGACGGGAGCTGAAGAAGCGCACTCGAGTCGTGGGCCCACAGGGCTGACTCCTACTTCATAAGCAGGGGGGGCAGTGGAAGGACGGAGCACGGGGCTGCGGCAGCCCCACGGTCAGGCAGACACGCACCGTGGACAGTCTCTGGCACGGGTCCCTGCCCCACACAGACAAGGACACCAGCTTGAGAAGGAGGCTGAGCCACCAGCCAGGAGGGCCAGGGATGGGATCCAAACCCAGGCTGACCTAATTCAGAAGCCACGCTCTCAAACACTACGTAATCTGCTCTTCCCGACACATGCACCTGAGGGTCTACGATGGGCATGTTTGTGACAGAGCCAAACAGTAAACAAAACAACCCACCCCTGAAGTTGCAGCATTTCGAGCCTAGAATACGTAAATGGCCGGAATGACAGACCGTCAGCAGGCTTCTCTATAGTGGAAGGTGTTACCAGCAATTGGGGTAACGATAAAATAGCCATCGTTGGCTTCAAAGTCGGTGGTGACAGGGTCCCTCGGGATTAAAATGCAAAGTCACCACAAAACACACCAAGAACGTAGAGGCAGAACCTTCCCAGCCACTCGGCTGTGACTTGACCAGCTGTACTAACATCTCTGAAGAAACGTGTTAATTCAGAAAACAGGACGTCAACAACGGGCCGAGAAAAAAGAGATGGGCTGTCCCACAGGGCAGGCCCATTGGCCCAGGGACAGCCACACTCTGGTGACCAATGTGGCCTTACTGCAGAAAAGGATGTAGCCGGGTTCCTTTAAATATCTGAAATTTAGGGGCGCCTGGGTGGCTCACTCGGTTGAGCGTCCGACTTGGGCTCAGGTCGTGATCTCACGGTCTGTGAGTTCGAGCCCCTCGTTGGGCTCTGTGCTGACAGCTCGGAGCCTGGAGCCTGCTTCCGATCCTGTGTCTCCCTCTCTCTGCCCCTCCCCCACTCATGCTCTGTCTTTTTCTCTGTCAAAAATAAACATTAAAAAATTTAAAAAAAAAATAAATCAAAATAAATATCTGAAATTTAATCTTTATTTTTATCAAAACAACCTATTTACAGTCTTAAAAGTAGCTCTACAAGGCACTAAATGGGGAGAAAAGTGGCCCCCGCCCCTCCTTTCTTCAGCTACACCTTCTCTGTTGCTGTTTGCAGATCACATGCTCATTACTGTTTTCTACATTTTTTTAAGTAGGCTCCACACCCATTGTGGGGCTGGAGCCCACAACCCTGAGATCAAGAGTCGCACGCTCCCCCCACTGAGCCAGCCGGGCGCCCTGTGCTTTCTACGTTTTTCTATTTCAAGCATGAACTGTCAAGTTGCACGCGACGCGTAGCCATCCGGAGCGTCCCGCCCTGCTCGGGACACTTACATCACACCCATCCACCGCACTAGCACTGAGTGCCTGGTTGTTAGGACTAAATAGCCCCTAACCATCATTCCCAGGGGCATCCCTTCCAGAATGGCCATCACATTCCTTTCCTGAAACCATGTTTCCTTCTAATTTGCAGCCTCTTTTCTATGCATCTTCTCAACCTGAGGATGATTCAATGAAAACACCTCCAGGTGGGACGTGTACACGCTGGACGGTGAACAACTCCCAACCTTGTCGAGTTGGAGTCTAGACATCAGTCCCCACCCCCAGCTGCCCTGGGTCCCCACCTGCCCCGCAAATGCCAGGCCAGGTTCCTGTAGCTACACCTGCTGCTACCGCCATTCCCATTTGATTGCCCGCCTCCCCTTGGACTGACCCCTACGTTATGTCCCACCCTGTCCCAGCCTGTCCACGGAACTGAAAATCTTTCAACACCCAAGAGCACCTGCTGTTCCCCAGGTACAGTGTCTGCTCTGATCTCTGAGGATTTTAACTACAGTTTCTTTGAAAGGGCTATTGCTCCTTTATTGTTTCTGTCCCTCTGACATGCTTTTCGTAATCCCGTCTGTTTTGGCTTCTTTCCTGGGAGAGACTCTCCTCCCCCTCCCCTGTGTCCTCTGTGTGCGTTAAGGGTGAGACAGCAGAGACCAACAACGTCCATGCGGGGACGGCAGAACTTCCTGACGAGCGGATTTCCACTGGGGACCCTGCTCTCTCTCCGGCTGTTTCTGTCCCCTAGAGAGAGACCCCCGTTCTGCTGTGTGTCCGCCTGGGTGGTGGGGGTGGGGTGGGAATGACCTGGCAGCCGGCTGTGGGCCGAGTACTTTAACTCAGCGTGCTTGCTCTGACCCGATTCTGTTAGAGCAAGTCGGACCCTGGTACTCAAACTCATTCTGAGAAAAAGCAAGTCCTTAGGACAGTCGGCAAGGCCCCACGTCATCGCCACTGCCTGTCACGTGTCCCCTCGGTATGCCTGACCTCCTATCTCACTCTCCTCCGGATGACTCACCTCCTCACTACTTCAGCCTCCCTTCCATCTCAGGGCCTTTGTGACGCCTGTTCCTCCGCCTGGGACAGCGTGCCCTGCCGTCCCCACAGCTGCCTGCCCCTCCCTGGTCCTCGAAGGACCCTTGTCTTGAACTACAGCCCTTTCCCCCCCCCCCCCGCCCCCAGCACTCACGACTTCCTATTATCACTTCACTGCATTACTGTTTATTGTCCGACTCCTCCCACAGGAACAGAGATGTTCTGGTCTGTTCAGATCACTAATCCACACCCAGCACCTGTAACAGCATTCACCCCTGCCCTTAACTGTGTCCGCAACTGAAGGTTCTAGAAAACACACCTCCAGTCCTCTGCTAGCGTGGGGAACGGCAGTCACCTGGCCGCAGGAGCAGAGACAGGAGCCCAGGAACCCTACCCCTGCTCATCCGATTTTCAAATACTTCTGTTCTCGGCTCCCACAGCACGTCTGCGCTTCACGTCTGTGCCTTCCCAGGCTCTGCTCTTCAACTGCTTGCTTCTTACCTGCTTCCACCCTGTTCCGTCTTCTCTGCTCTGCTGAGTCAGCCAGCGCTGGTCCCTACGTGGTCCCGGCCTCCAAAGCCCCGCTCGAGTTTCTTCTACGGTTGTCACCTCTCCGCCCCGTTACAGTCAACTCCCTGAGATCTCAGTCCAGGCAGAAAACAGAGCACGTGGCCAGTCTACCACGTTCACCTGTGTTGCTAAATACCTGATTCCCACAACTATCTCGTTTTTCACACTCCCTTGCTCACCAAGAAAAGCCCTGATGATGACGGCTTCTCAGCTCCCATGTTGACTACTTCGAAGGCTCATCCACCACAGATCCCCGTCCACAGGCGGTGACCGTACATACACGGGTCTGTGACCCTGATAAAGTCTCCGCAGGAGAGATACCTGCTCTTAGGAGGCTGAAGCACCAGCAGACTGAAAGTCACACTGACATAATGTAGTCTTAGAAGTCTCTTGGGAGACCACCAGCGAACCTTTTTTTGTTTCCATACATTTATCCATCATGTGGAGTATTTTCATATTTTAAATTTCAGCAAAATATGGCTGGATTAACAAAAAAGGGGAAGCCCGAAAAAGGTCTAGAAGATAAATATAAATACACAGAGAGGCAAGTAGGTGGGCAAGTGGATGGGTGGGCCGTAGAGATAGAGAATCCCTAACAGACATACAACGTACCCTTTGTCGGGTACCAACATGCTCGAGGCCTACGTAGGCCCTCCATACCTACGACAGTGTTAACCCTCACACCAACTCTGTAATCTGCTCTCCTAGCTTATACGTAAGACCAAGACTCGGAGGTCATACGTCACTGGCGTAAGGGCACAGGGCCAGCTGAGATAAATCCAGAACTGTCCACTTCCAAATTCCGTGATTTTTATCCTATACATACTGCTTTTAAGTGTTCATTAAAACAGTTTAAAATGCAAAATGAATACATTCTGACCTGCTTTTCATAGGATGTTAAGTGCTGATGACATTTTGAATGCTTCCCAAAGTACTGTTATTTTTTTTTTTTTTACAAGACCTATACAACAAACATTAAAACCTACTGTCCATCCAATTCAACATCCTGTTCCCAAATGGCAAGTGGCATCAACAGATACCCTGTGGTAGGAAACAGCTGCTTTCCATGACACCAACTTCAGAAACGTAGAGGCAGGTCCCTGATACAGTCCTGCTTTTCTTGAAGACCCTACCATGAGCTGGTCGCGCATGGTTTTGTGTCTAGCAGCAAGCTCACGTCCGTCAGCCCCACGACAAAGGCCAGCTACGTCCGTCTAGAAAAGCCACCACCTCCGGGGGCTGGAATTCCAGGCACATCACCGCCGCGTTCTCATGGGAAACGCAAGCCAGCAGTGCCTTTGGGTTCAGAAAAAAGAAAATTAAACACAGCAAGCAGCCATACCTGGATTAGTGATGAATGACAGCAACCCAGCCGGGAATTATCAGTTTCATCTGGGCCGGAAGGAATCTCAGTGGAGGAATTCCTGGCTGCAGCTCTGCTATTTGCCGAGAATTTTGAAAATTAAACACTGATGCACTCGGAGTGGAATGTGCCCGTGCAGATCACAGGAGCGCAGGCAGCTGCAGCCGGAGGTCTACACGCCATCGAGTGAAAGGCTACGCGTCTGAATACGGTTTTCAATTTTTCCATTTGAACCCAATAAAAAATAAATGACAGCAATGGCGCTCAAAATATTCACACCCGGCAGCTGCCCAGCTAAATAATTCAGTATCTTTCTGAACAGAAAGTCTTTTCCCCCAGGACACATTTTTCAACATATTAAATGTTCTGCTAGCTCAGCCCTCCTGCAGCCAGCTGCATTCTGTTTTGGCAACTGGGGAACGATGGTCTCCCTGTCCCATAACTGGAGAAAAATTCCAGTCCCATTAGGTAGGAAGCATTCAAATCACACATGCTTATAGCTTATAAGTTCTGCTATTCTTAATATTATGCAAAATCTGAATGAATCAAAAGATCTTAAAAGTAAGGAGAAAAGCATGTTCCGAAATTTTAAAAGGAAGCGTTTCACACTGCAAAAGCAAGCTAGTCAACTCTTTGTGTCATGAGGCATGAAAAGCACTTAGCAACCTAGGAAGATGAACTGCAAAACTCTGAATGCCTGGAGTGACGAGGACTTGGCCCCTGACCGAAGGGCATGTGACCCACGTTTCTCTGCTGGTGCCCACTAACCATTTCCATGTGCTGATCTCGTAAAGGTTAAGACTCATTACTGGCTAAAACATGCGGCTTTCCAAGTAGTTCGGCGTGTTGTGACTTCTATCTATAATGAAGATAATGCAGTTTTTCCTTTGGTTAGAAAACTGAAGAATGTCTTTTGAACGGTAATGAGCTGCTTCAACCCAGCATTTCCAACAGGTCTTACGTCGCCCCCACCGTGTGGACCTCACGGCTCCGCTTCCTTTCCCTGCTTTCCACAGACGGGCGTGAGTGAGAAGGGCCCAGGAGCGTTGGCAGGGCAGAATGGAACACGGAAACCCGGATGGGAAGGTCGCCCACAAGGGACTCTTGAGCTGGCACTCACGCTCTGACTCAGGAAGGGTCCGTGACAAGCAAGAATTTGCTGTTTTCAGGTTCTCTGTGTGGCTCTGCAGGCTCCCTGGTGAAGGGGTTTGCCTTGCAAACCGACTCCCACAGGCACCCCCAGGGCCCTCCGAGGGGCCCCCAAGCCCCCCAGACCAATCTGAAAATGACTGAGACTGAACCGCCTCGGTCCCCAGGACACAGATTTGCTACTGATCTGGAGAAGCCACTCTCCCGCTCCCCAAAATCCTGTCCGGTGAAAGCAGTTCCGCATCCGTATTTACCCGCTAATGCTCAGGCTTCAAAGCACAGCCTTCTGGGTAGGCGAAGTATGAGCTGAATACAAAGAAAAGAAGACTGGGCAGGGCAGGGCAGGGCAGGAAAAACAGTGAATCGGAAAACTTTGGCTGGACAACAGGAGCCCCCATTTCATCACCAGAACTCAGGCTAGACTGGCCATGTCCGCACGGTGCCAAGGGACCAGGTTCGGGGACCAGGTTCAGGCTCCGCAGGGACAGCCTCTGGGACCCCAACCCCCGGGGCCTCAGTCAGGGAAATGGGGGCCCGAGAAGCACACGGTCACGGCCTCGCCCCTGCAGGGCGTACGTATCTGCAGATTTTCACCTCCAGGGAAAGTTTTCTGTTTCGAGGCACAAATATTGTTGGACGACTAAGACTCTTTTCCGAACAGCCACAGATCATGGCCCGCCACCAACTTTATTATTAAAACGCAGAAAACACATTAATCATCAAGACCAGACGAAGGACTCTACTTTTTCTGCCAAATGGCTAACTGTAGATGGCGTTTTAAGGCCAAAATTCCCCTCTCCTCAGGCCCCATTCATTTCACAGCACTGCACACTGTTTGTATACGGATACATGTAGGACACGCACGCACACATACACATATACATATATGTGTGTATGTTTCTCAAGGGCAAGGACCTTCAGTGCCGTGTTCACTATCACATCCCAGAGCTAGCACGTGCCACACTCGGTTAATTTGACTTTGTTAAGCGTGAATCTCGCACTCTGTTAGCTGAGCCAGGATTGATCACCAATATTTTCTAAAAAGGGGGGTCGGGGAGATTTGTGTTTATTAATCTGGTCTGACTACTCGCCAGCAGAATTAGGATCCTTGAAAATGGCCATTTTATTTTTGAGGTCAGAATTATCTACGCAGAGATGAAAGGAGCATTTTCCTTCTCTAGACTCTTGACGCACGGTAAGCTGTGTGAAGGCTGTGTTAGTTGGGGATCTCCTTCTCCTGAAGGAGTCCAACTTTTCCACGCTATCATTACGATTCATGTGAATGACAATTTTAGTCCAGAAGACAACTCTGGGTCTTTGGCCAACTAGAAAAGAATATACTAGAAGTCTACGTTACTGTTTTCTTATAGTTGACATGCTTGCCTTCAAAGGCTTAATTAGAAACCCAAAATGCTGTCAATCTGAATTTTTTTTCTAATGAATTTATAAGTGATTCCAAATACACTGTTCTTCCACTGCACCATTAGTTTTTAAAACAACGAATGCTTTGTTTCCGAGTTGGAAAAGATACCATTAAAATGAGAGGCATCTATTTTGTTTTAACTTGAGCTGGCCACCTGTTAGGAATATTTGAAATGGGGAAAATAACACGGAACGCATGTTGTATCCCTAAAACCAGTAAAATTTTTAAAAGTAAATCTGTCGCATCAGGTATTGAAGCACACACGGGAACGTAACAGTCAATGTGCTACCAGGGAACCCTGAAGTTCCTTCTACGACTCTATGGTGCAGGTGTCCCAGCCCTCTGAGCGCAGAGAACAGAGTGGCGGGCACCGTCTGGGTCCAGAGACGTCCTCCGACGCCTGAGGGGCAGATGGAAAGGGGCCCAACAGTCAGCGGGGAAGGGAGAGCCCCTGGAGTCCTCAGAAACGCTGGGAAAGAACGGTGGAAACCCTCCCTTAAAAGACGCATCTTCACAGCATCTCGTGTGCAAGTCCAGGGTCCTCCCGCCCCCAAGGCACCAAAGAGCCGCCAGGAGCCGTGAGACACAGGCCCACAGAAGGAGGACCAGGGCTCGGCCCGGCGGCCACCGGACAAGGGAAGGGGAGAAAACAGAAGAGCAGGAGAGCAGGAGGCCGGAGGCGACGAACACGGAGGGAGCGCCCGAGGGAGGGGTCTGCTGACCTGCAGAGCCCACGTCTCTCTCCCGTGCCCACCACCTCGGTGTCACCACCAGTGCGGGAGACCCTCTTGTACACATCGCGGCTCCACCCGCAGGGCACGGCTCTTACTCTCTCTGTAACTCTTACTGGCTGGCAGAAGGCAACACTTCCCCCCAAACAGGCTCAAGAAACAACAGAAAATTACAGAAGTATCACTCGGGTGATCACAAAAATTATTCAAACTGGGGCGCCTGGGTCAGTCGGTTGTGTATGTGACTCTGGATTTCCGCGCAGGTCATGATCCCAGGCTCGTGGCATCGAGCCCCATGTCGGGCTCTGCACGGAGCGTGGTGCCTGCTTGGGATTCTCTCTCCCTCTGCCCCTCCCCCACTCACTCTCTTTCTCTCTCTGTAAAATTAAAAAAAAAAAAAAAAAAAAAGAATTACTCAAACCTATTTGGAGTTAATGACATTTTATTCTGTATGAGCAACATTCTACAATGTGGATCCGGAACAAAACAATAAGCCAAAAAACAAGTTAATAAACTAAAAACTTTAATTTTATTTTTAATTGAATCCAATTGTTTCAAAATCACTATCATCAATACAAATCCCACTGTAACCGTTCCATTCTACTTCCTTGCCACATGGCGCAGTGCCACATACTTTATTTTTTGCATTCTAAAAACTCAATGTCTTACTTAGAAACAGCTTTGAAACTTGGCTCATGGCCCGTTTGTAATTGATACTTCAGCTTAAATACCTTTCCAGCAAACTTACACTAACTTCAAAATACTCTGGGATCAACCATTAAAATGTTTTTGTTTCGGTTACAACACTAATGAGCACCAAATGTTAGAATTTGTTTTAAAGACCTAATACATCAAGGATTTTCTTAAAAGGCCAGATCGGCTATCCATTATATAACGACAGGCAGATTAGTCAGTGTGATACAGACAATACTTGAAAGATTTAATACATAAGTGGAGAATCAAACATAAGAAAGTTAAACTCAGAAAGCCTGCTCAATCAGCGATCCTACTTTCCCTGTAAAAACACCAAACTCCCGCTCTTGAAAGCCTCCTTCCCTCACTCTTTGTATAAGCCACTCAACCTTCACCTGGATTTCCCTCTTCATATCAAAGACATGCTTCACTATGTTTTCTTACTCTACAGAGGAATATAAACTACCCAAGATGTAAAACGCAGTTAAAGGACATCTCAACATACCAGGTTTCTTAAAGCCTGGTAAGAACCACTGATAAGACAAGATTTTAGAAACAAACGTGTAAATGCTATTTTATCCATATTCATCAGGGATACTGGCCTGTAGTTCTCTTTTTTTACTGGGTCTCTGTCTGGTTTAGGAATCAAAGTAATACTGGCTTCACAGAATGAGTCTGGAAGTCTTCCTTCCCTTTCTGTTTTTTGGAATAGCCTGAGAAGGATAGGTATTATGTCTGCTTTAAATGTCTGGTAGAATTCCCCAGGGAAGCCATCTGGTCCTGGACTCTCATTTGTTGGGGGATTTTTGATAACTGATTCAATTTCTTCGCTGGTTATGGGTCTGTTCAAGTTTTCCTTTTCTTGCTGTTTGAGTTTTGGAAGTGTGTGGGTGCTGAGGAATTTGTCCATTTGTTCCAGGTTGTCCCGTTTGTTGGCCTATAATTTTTCATAGTATTCCCTGATAATTGCTTGTATTTCTGAGGGGTTGGTTGTAATAATTCCATTTTCATTCATGATTTTATCTATTTGGGTCATCTCCCTTTTCTTTTTGAGAAGCCTGGCTAGAGGTTTATCAACTTTGTTTATTTTTTCAAAAAGCCAGCTCTTGGTTTCATTGATCTGCTCTACAATTTTTCTAGATTCTGTAATTTCTGCTCTGATCTTTATTATTTTTCTTCTTCTGCTGGGTTTGGGGTGTCTTTGCTGTTCTGCTTCTATTTCCTTTAGGTATGCTGTTAGATTTTGTATTTGGGATTTTTCTTGTTTCTTGAGATAGGCCTGGATTGCAATGTATTTTCCTCTCAGGACTGCCTTCGCTGCATCCCAAAGCATTTGGATTGTTGTATTTTCATTTTCATTTGTTTCCATACATTTTTTAATTTCTTCCCTAATTGCCTGGTTGACCCATGTAAATGCTATTTTAATTTTTTTTTTCAATGTTTATTTATTTTTGGGACAGAGAGAGACAGAGCATGAACAGGCGAGGGGCAGAGAGAGAGGGAGACACAGAATCGGAAACAGGCTCCAGGCTCTGAGCCATCAGCCCAGAGCCCGACGCGGGGCTCGAACTCACGGACCGCGAGATCGTGACCTGGCCGAAGTCGGACGCTTAACCGACTGCGCCACCCAGGCACCCCTGTAGATGCTATTTTAAAATTACAGAAACAAAGAACAGAGAGCTGACTACTCTGGAATATCCTAGAGATGAACACCTTGCACTTTAGGGACGACTGCCAGTCCACACGTGTCTCTTGAAGCCTCCGCACACACTTCAACAGCGTGTGACCCACCGGCATGTGGAGTGGCCATCATTATGGTGACACACGTGTCTGCCTTGTTTCTGCTTCTGTGTCTCTCGATGCTGGGTCTTCTTGGCAGGGCCCCTGCTTTCAGACCTCCTTCACATCCTACCGTCATGGTTGCTACAACCTCCATAAATAATTTCAGCATCTTTTCATTTTTCTTTTTCTCGTTTTTTCGTTCTGTTGTGACTTTAATACTTCTTGCCATTCAGTGTGGACTTTTACAGAACTGGACAGATGCCTTTCTTTTTGATTTAGCAATTACTAATCATTCCTTTTAGCTGTAACAGTCAAGTCTTGGGTTCTTGTTTATTTTTTTTATTTTATTTTTTTAATGTTTATTTAGCTTTTGGGAGAGACAGAGTGTGAGTGGGGGAGGGGCAGAGAGAGAGGGAGACACAGAATCCAAAGCGGGCTCCAGGCTCCGAGCCGTCAGCACAGAGCCTGACGCGGGGCTCAAACTCACAAACCGTGAGATCATGACCTGAGCCGAAGTCAGACGCTTAATTGACTGAGCCACCCAGGTGCCCCTTTGTTATTT